TGAGCACCCCCAGCTCCACATCTTTCCTGTGCTGGGGGCACCAGAGCAGGACACATTACTCTAGGTGAGGTGTCACCAGGGCAGAGCAGAGGGGCAGAATCACCTCTCTGGGTCTGCTGGCCACACTTCTGGTGATACTGCAACTGCATGTTGGTGGCTCACGTCCAGCTTTTGATCCATGAGCACCCCCAGCTCCACATCTTTCCTGTGCTGGGGGCACCAGAGCAGGACACATTATTCCAGCACCCCCAGGTCCTTTTTCCTGCTCTCCTACCAGGGCTGCATTCACACCCTGGGGTCCCCCAGCCCGGCTGCAGGACCCTCAGGGCGTTCCTGGCTGTTCCCACCTTCCCGACCCCGGCCTCACCTCGGGCAGGAGGCGCCCCCCGGGCATGCTGGAGGGGGGCCCCCCGATCAGGGACACCACCCCGTTACAATCCACGGTGCTGTTCCTCTTGAGGCTGCGGCGCAGGGTGGGGAAGATCGGCGTGTCGGGTCTGAGCCGGGTGTAGCCGCTGTAGCCGCTGCGCCGGTCGCGGCCCCGGATGGGGATGAAGAGGGAATCTCTCCTGCCCTCACTCTCCTCCACCGTGCTGTGCTCGTCGTCTGCAAACTCGTTCTCTGAGCCCGGGTCCCGGAATCGCCCTTTGTAGCTGAAGATGCTGCTCTTGCTGTTGTGGCGGGAGAGGAAAGGGGAGCCTGGGATGCTGAGGAGAGACTGGGAGGGGGAAGAGAGGACATGAAGGGCACGATGGCTCAGACAGGCAGGGCTGAAGGGCTGCAAGGAGCTGCCTGGGTGGTTTTGCTCCCTCTCTGGGTCTGCACAAACCGTCCCTGCTCAGCTGCACTTCATAGAATCACAGAATCATTCAGGTTGGAAAAGCCCCTTGGGATCCTCGAGTCCAACCATCACCCCTGCTCTACAAAGTTCTCCTCTAACCCATCTCCACCAACACCACATCCAGGGATGGTGACTCTACCACCTCCCTGGGCAGCTTGTTCCAGTGTCTGACCACTCTTGCTGTGAAAAAAACATCTTCCTAATGTCCAGTCTAAACCTGCCCTGTTGCAGCTTGAAGCCCTTCCCTCTTGTTCTACCTCTAGAGGGTGTTCACTCCTGGCTGGCTGAGAAGTGATCTGGTGAGATTCACTACTCTCAGGAGCAAGTTCTAGAATCACAGAATGGTCAGGGCTGGAAGGAACCTCTGGAGATCATCAAGTCCAACCTCCTGCTAGAGCAGGACCCACTGGGGCAGCTCACAAAGAAACACGTCCAGACAAAGGTCTTGAAAGTCTCTGGAGAAGGAGACTCTCCAACCTCCCTGGGCAGCCTGTCCCAGGGCTGTAAACCTGGGCCATAAGTGTCCTCCTGATCCCCTGCAAGTGCCAGACAGTGGGTGGACTCCTCTGACATGCTATCCAGGATCTGAACTGGAATATTGTCCCAACTACCAGCAAGCACGAACATCCGCAAAGTAAATGAAAACTACCTGGTTCATGATGGAAAACTTCCTCCCCAGCCTGTTGTCTGGCAGCCGGAATGCCTTCCTCCTCATGCCATCCTCAGACTCAGACTTGAACACCTTCTCAGTGTCACACTTCTCGTCTCCTTCCGACAGTTCCTTGTCCTTCCGTTTCTTCCTGCGGTTCCGCCGCTCCTTGGCACTCTTGGAGCTGAGTTTGGAGATCTCTGAGGAGCTCCGAGACATCCTTCCCCCTCCATCATCTTCCACAGCATCTTCAGAGACTGTCCCTGCCGAGGTGACCATGCCAGCAGTCTGAGGGTGAAGACCAGAGAAGGGAAAAATACATCAGATTTGACCACGATTCATACTCCATTTTCTGCTTCAGGGGAGGGTGGGTTTCATGCTTTGGGGCAGGACTGAGATGCTCCTTCTCCTGCCAGAAACTCACAGCCAGGACTTGTAAATATTTTGATTACCCTGCTTCTGGGTAGTAAAATCTCTCTCAGTCCCACAGCTTTGTTTATAAGCATTTGATAAAGGACCAGCAAAGATGTGCTCGTCTGCCTTGCAAAGATATTCCTGCACTTCCCTGGAAACTCTGGGAATGTTGAAAAATCTCCTTAAAGGGAGTTTTCCAGCAGAAAATAAACCCAGCAAACTTGCATACATCAGGAAAAACCAGCAGCAGGAGGGAAGAGGTTCCAAATAGGAACCCCAGGCAACACAGTGATGGCACTGCTGCATTTTTTTTGATTATCCAAATAAGTCTTTACACGTGCAAATGCATCCAAAAAATAGACAATCAAAACTCTCACCTGTACTTCTTCCTGCTGCTTTTTCAATTGTTCTAACATGGCCTTAAATTCTGCCTCCTTCTGCTCTGCCTCCTCCAGGGTGGCCTGGTTCTGCTCTTCATAAGCCATGGCTACCACAGCCAAAATGAGATTAACCAGATAAAATGATCCCACAAAGATCACTAAGACAAAGAAGATCATGTAGGTTTTTCCTGCTGCTCGTAAGGTCTGGAAGTAGAAAAGAATGGTAAAGAGAAAAGGAAGGGGAAAGCAATTTCAGAGTGATACCTGATGCATGAACTGGTCTCAAGCTTCTTGACCTAAATGCTTCTAAGAAAATATCGTGGTGCTGAAGATTTAACATCTCAGCACTTCCCCTGCAGAGCACCAAGATGCTGCACATTCATGAGCCTCCAACACAAGAGGTGACACATCCCTCCCCTTCTCCTAAGGGAACACCCAAAGGATGCAAACCAGGAAGGATTCAGAGTAACAGTGTGAAACCCAGTGCTCAAGACTCCTTTCAAGGAAAAAGAAAAGCCACTTCAGCAAGGTCCCCAAACCCTCCTCAGGTTACAAGGAAACACTCTGCCCTCCACCTTCTGTGCTGGGAGCTGAACTGCTCACACCCTCCTGCAGCAGCAGCTCAGGCTCTCCCAGGATGAACTCACAGCTCAGCTGCTGAGGACCTGCCCTCCCTCCTGGGCTCAGAGGTGACATCCCTTCCTCAACACACAACATCTCACTGGGCAGCTTTACTTGCAGTTACTCTTTCAGGCAGGGAGCACAACACACAGCTTCTCACAACCTCCTCTCCTGTAGTGTCCCCACATTCTCCTCTTGTGGAACAGGGAAGTTTACTTACTAATTGATACAAGTTTTCCCAAAAGTCCTGAGTCATAAGGCGAAATAAAGCCAGAAAGGCCCAGCTGAAGGTGTCAAAGCTTGTGTAACCATAGTTGGGGTTCCGTCCTGCCTTCATGCACGTGTAGCCCTCTGGACATTGACTGTGGAGAAGACAACAGCCACTTCAGGCACCACAGCACTGAAAGGGACAAAGCAGCTGCCAAAGTGCCCATTGCCCAGGTTGATGGAGGTGCCCACAACCCTGGTAGCAGGTGGCAATGGAGTCTGCTGCCCTGGCAGATCAGAGCAGCAGAGGAGGAGCCTGACAGGACTCCAGAAGAGCCCTTTGTCCTGCAAGATGAGGTAACAAGAGGCTTTTCACCCAACGTGTGGCTTTTGCCACAATTTTTAGACCCCAAAGACTGGGTGAAAAACCAACTGGAGGCAACAGCCCATGGGAAGCTTCCATTTCTCCATCCTCTACTGCTCTGATGATTCTTATGGCTGGATTCAGAGGGAAATTATGCCACTAGTCATGATCATTAGCCATCCCTGCCTCCTGAGATGACATGAAAAATGTCAGCTTACATTGTATTAGTCAGGCAGTAACAAAGGATTAATGATTGGATTAAGAAATGTGAAACGTTTTACGTGGGAATTAACACCAGAAGCAACAAAGGAAGCACCAGGAAAATATTCCAAAGGTTTTGCCATCATTAGCCAAGATCAATGGTAAGGAGAGTCTCTACTTTTGATGAAGCTCAACACTCACCCTGCATCGGAGCTGTTACCACAGAGCAAAGGATCAGGGGCACCAGGAATGATGTAAAAATTTGCTGAGGAAGAGGAAAAAGGAGAGATTATTACATCAGTCAGAGGATTTCATACACCAGAGCCCCCTAAAAACCTTCACCTCAGAGCCCTCCAGATCCCCTACTGATCAGTTCATCAGCAAACTCGGCTTTGAGAAACATTAACTGTGCCTGAGCTTAAACACCTTTTTGGGGAGTCAGTCTCCTATTCTGGAGATTTCAAACCAGCTGACTGCACAGCAGAGAAGCTCAAAAGTGGGACAGGAGGAAGAAATGAAGCTACAAAAACTTGGAGGCTGGTTTTCTTGATCACCCCCAGCACCACTGACAGCTCTGAGGCCCCAGCAGTGGGGAAAGCAGCTGCCAAGCAGAGTCAGGCACCAACAACTTCAAGTGAATTCTCTGAACAACTCAGCAAAACCAAGGGAAGGACCTGACACTCCGAGGGTGCTGAGCCATCTCGTATCACCTGCAGCATTAACTAGAAAGGTTGGACCAGGTGATCCTTGAGGTCCCTTCCAGCCCAGGGATTTAAGCAGGCAGAGTTATTTCTCATTGACCATATTGAATTGGAAACAAAACAGGAAAAAACCCCAGCATTTTTGACAAAATACTGAGCTAAAAGGGCACAGCCAAGACCTTCTAAAGGATGAACCCAACAGGGACACCTTCCCAAGGTCAGGTTTCTAAAAACTGAGAAATATCTGAGCCAGGTTTTTGCTGTGCCAGGCTGGACACACCACGTTCTGAGCCCACATCAGAAACCTCCCTGGCCAGCAGGATTAAACCAACTGAGAAGGTTTCAGGGAGCACCACAGCAGCAATACCCACACATATTGTTGGTGTATTCCTCCCAGTCAAAGCCCCTCGAGCCGTTGTCCAGGAAAGTCTCGTTCATGTTAATTGGCCAAATCACACACTTGTTCCTCAAATTGCCCATGAACAGTTGCAGCCCAATCAGAGCAAAGACACTGAGACAAAACACTGTCAAGATCATGACATCTGACAGCTTCTTCACAGACTGAATTAGAGCCCCCACAATGGTCTTCAAGCCTGCAGAGAAGAAAATAAGACTAGAAATCACTCCTGGAGAAGGAAAAGACATTGAAAATTCCAATACACCCTGTGCCTGACACTCACAAAGGGCTGTTGCTGTAGAACAGGTGGGTTCTGGGAACCCCTCCTTGGGTTTTCAACCAGTACAATAAAGGTTATGGATGCCCCAAGCTCACCAGTTTCACTGGTGAAGGAGCAACAGTTGGAACAACAGGGATCCACCAGCTTTATAGTGGATTTCATGAGAGTGAAACATCTTACCACAAACCCAGAGGAGCAGGTTTGACCCCTGCCTGACCTGCCTTTGCTTGACCCTTCTGACACTGGTCACAGGGCATGGAATGATAGGACAAGGGGTGATGGTTTTAGGCTAGAAAAGGGTAGATTTAGGTTGGGACATTAGGAAAAAGTTCTTTACTAGGAGGGTGGTGGATCAGTGGCACAGGTTGCCTAGAGAGCTGGTGGAGGGTCCATCCCTGGAGACATTCCAGGTCAGGCTTGATGAGGCTCTGAGCAACCTGGTCTAGTGTGAGATGTCCCTGCTTATTGTAGGGGGGTTGGACTAGATGAGCTTTGGGTCCTTCCAACCCAAGACATTCTATGAAACCAAAGTGCCAGTGTCCAGCAGGGAATGCCTGAGCCTTGCAGCAGGGGCTGCTGGGGAGTCACTGCCCAGGACAGGATTTCTCTGAGCAGAGATGTTAAATTCAGACACACTGCTACAAACCCCTCCAGGGACACATCCAGCTGTGTCCAAGCCCAGCTTCCTGACACAAACTTCAACTTACAAAGATCAAATACCTTCTGAGCTGTCTACATCTTCAGTTTCCACTGCTTAACTGAACTGTTCCGGCACTTCCCTCTCCTTCTGGGAGCAGAATTCTTCATTTAGGTGGTGGGTTTTGTTATGGGGGAAGCAGGATCTCACCTGGATCACCATTAGTCAAGGCTCAACAATAAAAGCTCAGGCATAAGCCAAGAATCCTGCCAGTTTTCTAAACCATCCCTAAGCTGGGGGAAGAACGTGGCACTAACAGCTCCAGGAGATGGACCTAAACAAGCAAGAACTTTGGATGCATCAACTATAACAGTATCAGGGCACTTTAATAAGCCTTTCTGGTGTTGAGTAGGATGATCTTGCATTTGTAAATGAGTAGTGAAGGAGGAAACAAGAAATAAATCACAGACCCAGCTGAATTTGGGGCCAGCCAGAGCCAAGTCTCTGAGGCCACATGAGCATTCTGCAAGGAATCTGTGACAAGAAACCATTCTCTACCAGCAGAGTTTGATCCATAGCAGGAACACAAAGATGAAAGAAACAGATCAATAAAAAGCAATTCTTATGGAGGAATCTTTTTTTTTTTAGATGTCTTTTACTTCAATCTTCAGAACTTTTCCTCCAAGCCAAAGCAGGATTTTGCTGACAGTTCTGCCAGACAAACACGGGTCACGGTGCTGGTTCAACATGCTCATCTCCTCCCCCTCCCCAGCACATGCAGCCACTGACCAGCCCCCCTGGTGCTGGTTTGTATGGTGCTCTCCCACAGGCAGATCAGGAGAACTGGGTTTGGACCCAAAATGATCCAACTGGCAGCAAGTGCTCCCAGACCAACCACAGCACAAACAACTTTCTGCTGAAGTCGCCTCCAGGTTCCCCCTGGGTCCCTTCAATGTCCACGTGTCACAGGCCCAGAGACTGATGGCATCAGGTAATTAAAATACCAATAATTCAAGTGCCAATAAAAAGCTTTAGACCAGCACAGAGTTTATTATGGTCTATCAAGCCAGAAGATGAAAGCAGGATTTTGGTATTTTAGCTCACAGAAGCCCACACATCTGTACAGACCCTCTGCCTGCATGGAATGTTATCCAGTGCTGTGTCATATCCTGGTAATATTTCCCATTTTTATGTCATCTAAAAAACACACAGCTGCCCTGAGCTGAAAAGGGGCTCAGGTTCCACCCCCCTCTGTGCTGTCACTTGGATTAAAAGGAAAACTCCATCAGTTTGGAGCAGCATGGAGAGGATGCCACAAAACTGAACTGCCCTGCTCCTTCCCCCAGGAAGACAAGAAATGCTGCCACACAATTAGTAACCAGTTAAAGCTGTATCATCTTCACTTTGCTGATTACGAAAGTGACACCAACATTGAAACTGGGTTTAAGGTGGATGCTTTTCTTTGAGCAAGCCAGTAACCCCTGGAGCAGTGTCAGAACCACAACTGCCCTCCAGACCCATCTCATGCTGTCACCAGAGACCTCCTGCTCCTGCTGTGAGCTCTGCCAAACACTCAGGGAGGCTCCATCACTCCAGCATCTCCCACTCAGTGCAAGGGAAGCAGGTGCCACTTTGGAACATCATGCACAACAGCCATGACCATCTGATGGGTTTAGCAGTCTGGAATGGGGACAAAACGGATGGGCCCCTAGGATTCCATAGTCTCTTTTCTGGCAAATGTAAATGCAAGTGTGGCCTGAGAAAGCAAAAGAGCCATTATCAGTTGATGCATCAGGAAACAAACACCAAGAAACAGGAGCCTCATCCAGTGATTTTTTTGGGTGCCCATTTTGAGGCAAGTCAGGCACCTACAACTGGAAAACTTACCAACACTTCAGTGCCTGTGAAAACTGAGTCTTGAGCTTAAAATAAAAACTTAAACCACCTGCATGAGAGTTTTCCATACAAGAATCCAGGATCAGAATCATATCCTCAGTCTCTTCCAAGAAAGGAAGGGCTGTTGCTCACCCTTTGTCACCCAGATGAAGGTGAGATCAAACAGGAGCTCTGTAAAGTCCTGCAGCTCTGGGGATGGCAGGTGAAATGGGCAAGTCTGTGCTTGAGGACTTGGGCCACACACCACTGCTCTACCAGCTGACAATCATTTCCACCATAACACACCAGGGCAGAAGCTGGGAGTGCAGATGCTCCCTTTATCTTAGTCTGTCTCTAAATGGCAGCATTGACCCTTTCTGAAAGCTTCTTGTCATTACCTAGAAGACAACCTACCTCATCTGCCTCCAGGCAACTGGAGTAGAAAGGTTTTAACTTTGGTTGGGTTTTGCTCACTTGCTTTACAAAGTTCTTCCTCACACAACTCCAGGAACACTTATTGTCCTGGTTTGAGCCAGGATGAAGCCTGGAACACTCACTGATAGTTAAAAGAAAACTTCCTGAAGGAAAAAATAACCAGTACAAGTGGTTTCATCCTGGCTCAAACCAGGACACTGATGTTGAAGGGATGACTTGCTGAGCAAGAAACTGTTCAGCAGCAGGAGGAAGGGAGGCTCTGATCATTTATTCATCCTGTATTCATCTTCATTTGCTCTAGACTCTGGGCCTGGCTTTCAGTTCCCAGCTGGGTTGGCCACAGGGATAAAGCAGCAGGGAACACCAGGCTGCTCATCCCATAATTTGGTGGCCCAGAAGCCTTCATTTCAAACTGCTCTGTTCATACAGACTGCAAAGCCCATCAAAAAAATATCCCAGTGCCTTTTTCTGAGAAACAAGCAATGCAGGACGAGAGGGGAGAGATGGAGAAGGGAAGAGATGCAAGAGCAGCCTTGGATGCTTCATGGTTCTCACCTGGAATGACAGAGATAGTTTTCAAAGCTCGGAGAACTCTGAAAGTTCTCAATGCTGAGACATTCCCAAGGTCCACAAACTCTGTGACATATCTGCAATGAGGGAGGTCACACACAAAAAACACAATGACAATACACACACCAAAAAAAAATCCAAACACCAAGTACAGACAAAGCAATACATCACTCACAGGGGCCTGTACCCAACAGCTAACACCAACCGGAGGCCGCCTTACCTGGAATTACAGAAATAGTTTTCAAAGCTCTCAGAACCCTGAAAGTGCGCAGAGCTGAAACATTGCCTAGGTTTACAAACTCTGTTATATACCTGCAGAATTAAACCAGAGTTAATGGCACCATTGGGGTCACCTGCCCTGTCATACAGTTGTCTTGTTTGCAGGAAACAGCTTGTAATTTAAAGCGCTTTAGAACTGGCATTTAAAAAAGGAGAGAGAAAATGTCTGGGCCAAAACACAGCTGAGGTCTCTCCACCCTGCAACCTGCTTGTCCAGGTGTTCTCCTCTGTGGAAGACTTGGGAATTCACAACTCTACAGAAGACAGCCACTGTGGAGCTGTCAGAGTGTGAGCAGACTTGGTGGCATCACCTCAGTTCAATGGTTTCAGGTCTATTCACTTCCCTTCGTGTTTTTAATGAAGTATGATCACATTTTGCTTTGATTAGCACCCTCCATTTTAATCCTTTATGCTTTACTACCTGTTTGGGAGCCACGGGTAGGAAGGATTATCCCCATTTTGACCAGGGGATAAACCTGAGACACACAGAGGCTTCAAGCCAGGTTACCAGAGCTCAATTTGACCATGACCCAGAAAAGAATCTTTACTCTGTGCTGACTGGGGAGAAACATGGTGCAGAAAAAGCCAAGAAATGCACAATATTCAAGGTTCTTCCTGGATCAGAAAGGCCTCAAGTGCTTCATAAAACTTAGACCCTATTAGTGGGATTTAAATAACACACAGGCAAGGATTGTATCTGAAGTCCACAGGACACCTCAGCAGAAATAAGGAGGTTACAGAGTTGGATCAGCTCATTTAAGCACATTTAAGACCAACGGGTCTTAAAGCATCAGGCCTTTTCAAACTGCTCCTGGGGAATTTCTCCAAAGACAAAGGGAAAAAGGAATTCACCAACCCAACCTGGTCTGTGTGCCACAAGTGGGGGTCTCACCCCCACAGGCCTGTTCCCACCACACGCAGCAGGTCCCAGCTGCTCTGAGCTAAGGCTGAAGTCCCAGGGAGTTCCTGGTTATTTTGCCTTTTGTGAACAATGTTCAACCCTTTGCCTGGCATTGAAAGACATGACTAATGGGAGAGTAGAAAAAGACCAGGAACTCAAGAAAATCAACAACCTTGGGTGCAGAACCCAGCCAAAAAAAGGTATTTTGTATGATTAAAGTGCTATGAACCCTTGAAAATCAGGCTCCTGTGCCTTCCTACACAATCCCTCAGTTTTCAGCAGCTGTTGTTCTGGGAGCCCAAACATGCACACATGCAATACCTCAAAAACAAGTGTTAAAGGGAAAAAAATTAGTCTTTTCCCCCAGTAACTCAGAGCATCAGTGACAGACCCTGGTTTCAGCAGCAGGACTGAGCCTACACAGCAACCAGCACAGCCAGGAAGGGCAAAACCAGAACCCTAGTGAGCACCTCCCAGTTCAGCTGTGAGCTCAGACATCCCCAGGAATCCACTTTATTAGGCAAGTTCATCTGGCACAAGAGAAAAGAAGGAGGAAGGAAAAGAAAGTGTTGCCTCTTCTGACACTGCCCCTTCCATCAGAAACTGTTCAACCTTCAGCCACAGCCGAGGGAATTTTCATCTGTGAGCCCAAGGGGTGGCAAAGATGAGAATTTCAAGATGCTTGGTTCCCAGTCCTGTTCTTAACAGAACAAGGAGCCACCCCAGCAGGTGAGCAATCCAAAATGCCAGCCACTATTAGAAAGGCTTACATTAATAAAGGCAGTTTAAAAAAAAACCAACCCATATTTTTTCGCAGCATCAACTCGATGGAGTCACACTTAAATCTTGACACATCCAACCTCTTGGGGGTTCACTTCAGCTTTCCTTGATTCATTTTTTTTTTCCATACCCACCCACCACCCCCCTCCTCAGGCCTCATTCCCCTCCCGGGTGCCACAGCCACCTGAAACCATCTGAAATCACAACTTACGCCATCATGATGACGCTGAAATCCAACCAGTTCCAGGGATCCCGCAGGAAAGTGAAGCCATCTATGCAAAAACCTCTTGCAATGATTTTCACCAGGGATTCAAATGTGTAAATGCCAGTGAAGGTGTACCTGCCACAAGGAAGAGAGAGAGCTGCACTGCAGAGCCTGGGGAAATGTCACTTCAGTCATGAAAGGAGATGAAATGCAACCACTTTTGTCTAAACAAAGTGGGTACGAACGCTGAGTTGTGTTCCCAGCAGCTTCGACATGAGTAGGAACAAGGATTCTCCCCAGAGGGAAACCACCACCCTGTGAGGTTTGTAGAAACACAAACATTACTTACTCCACATTCTTCGACCATTCGGGTGGGTTACTAAAAGTCATGAATACACAGTTGGTCAAAATAGTGCACATAATGATCATGCTAAATACTGTGGAACAAAGTCAAGGATCCAAGGGACACTCGGTGTGGCTCTTCCACCCCCTCCTGGCCCCCCAGAGATCCCTGCACTACAATCAAACTTAACAACCCTTTCCAGTCTATTGTCTGTGGATCACAAATAACAGCCAAAATGCTCCCAGCAGCCACGGGAAATAAGACTCCTCAAGCTGCTAATGATATAGAAACAGGGTTTTCATGTCACCATTCCATTTCTTTTCTATTTCCTGATATTTTTTTAGCAATCCCAAAATCACACATGGAAATATAAAACGTCTCCCCAGATAATTCCAGCCATTCAGTAACACCAAAATACATTCTTGCCAATAGATGCAACAGGAAAGCAGTGTTGCAACCCATGGGTAACCATGGGTTGAGCCTGGAGAAAACCTGAGGAATCTTTCCCAGCATCCCAGTGTGTTCAGCATCTCATGTGTCCTGTTTGGAAGGTGCTGGACTGACCCAAGGAGCGTTGCAGGGACAGCACAACTCCTGAATTAGCAGTTTGAGGGGTGAACTACTGATTTATTAGCAGGGTGGTGAACTCCAGGGTTAGATCCAAAGCTGTTTGACTTCCAAAGCTGTAAACAGACTCAACTGGATCTTAGCTCAAGGCCCCAGCCCCAGGAGCTCAGCCCACCCTGCCAGGTCTGCGCTGCCCGGCTGCATCCCAGCTCACCCAGAGGGATGGGAACAAGAAGGAAAACACACAAGCCCAAGAAAACATCCCCAGCCTCACATCCCAAGCAGAGCCTGAAGCATGATGAGATGGAAAAGCTTCTTCTCCCTTTGGGATGCAGGAAGGAAGGACCTGGAAGCCTCTAAAACAACACGGTGTGTGTTTCTGGTTTCCAGTCACTTTCCAAAAATAAATAAATAAACAGGGCAAAGCAGCTCAGCCAATATCTCACTTTTGTCATCCCCTCCCTCTCCTAATGACACGTGCTGATGTTCCTGAAGCAATCTGAGCTGTCTGAAGCCCTGCAGTGGAACAGTTTGGAACAGCCCTGCCATTAGAAGGAAGAGATGCCAAAAGAGCAAGAAATTAGCGTCTCATTAGGGATCAGGGGCCTCTGGCTCCTTCTCTACTAATTACTTAACCACTTTAGCAGCTAGTTAAACTCAACTCCCCTTCACATGAAGCATAACCTTGCAGCATATTTGTTCCCAAACTTATCAGTGTCTGTGACCCTGATGGTCCCTTCCAACTTAGCATATTCTGTGACTCTATGGTTGATTCTACGATTGATTCTATGACTGATTCTATGACTCTAAGAACAGGCACAGACAGGTGCAATTTAGCAAGGAAAACAACCTAAATGTCCACTTGACTGGAAATATCTAAAGGACCATCCTTTTCCATTCAAAAGAGCTCATTTTTGTTGTGCTTCAAGGCCAATCCAGCTTCACCAGGCACAGAAAGGTAACTCAGAGACACTGTCTGGACTGAGCAATGAGGCCACAGGTTTTTCAATGAATACACAAAGGCAACAGTAACTTGGTAATAAAAAGGATATGAATGTATCAAAATTTTAATAGCTATTCTTCTAAACAGATTAAAAGGACTTAAAATGTACAAGGCAGGTGTGGCACTAAATCGGAAGAGTGTTTTCCCTCTGTTTAGTACTACAAAGGTCTGCAGAGAAACAAAAAGAGACAGAAAAAGAGAGAGAGAGAGAGAGAAAAAAAGAGTTAATGCATGAAAATCCAAGCATGAATTGTACAAAAAGACAGACCAACAACTTCCATGGTAAAATAAAAATAGCATTTTATGCAGTTTTAAAGAATAATCTCCTTTATGAAGCCCCTGTTAGGATAAAACATACCTACCAGTGCAGCATGAATAATTCTACTCCCAACCATCCATTTTACTTGGCACCTGAGACAGAGCAGAAGCAAAATCCCCCATCCAAGGGTGCACATTTTCATCATATGGGAGTAGAAAAATGATTAACCCAAGCTAATAGTTAAGAACCAAGGCCCAAAGCAAGGAGGGGTCACAAATCCAGGAGTAGAATTAACAGCTGAACCCAGTCCTCAAACCAATGCCCAGGGAACAAGACAGTGTCCATGCAGCCTGTGCCCCCTTCCCAAACCTCACCAACAGCCACCACAGCCACCCGTGGTTTTATGAGACCTCAACTGCAAAGAAGGGTTTGACATTTAAGCAGAAAATGTCCCAACAGGGTCCCCCAGCCCAGCAGACACAAGTCAGGCCCCATCATTCCCATTCCTGGGCAATGCTGAGCAACACCCCAGGCTGGTGCCCCAAAACTCCAGGCACAGCCACATGTTCCCACTGCCTTTCCTTGGCGAGATGTTAAGGTTTGCTCCTTCCTACAGAACCTGGGGAATGAATCATGCAAACGTGAGGCAGAATCCACCTCATCTCTCCACCACCAGCCTCAAAAATACAGAGCAGCTCTCCCATCTCCCCGCCGGCGAGCAGGCGTCTCGAGAAGCAGCCATCTGGAGAGGCTAAATTAGAACTGTGGTTGCCTGATACCAGCTCACTCCATGCACCTACTGCTCAACTTGAAAGGGAAAAAAATAAATAATAAAAAAGCCATTTGTCTGCACTGAAAAAGCCAAAGGCCTTTCCCAGCACCATCTTCCCATTCTCCATCCCCTCTGGGATGCTGCAGGATGGAGCCACGAGCTCTGCCCACCCCAGCCCCCCGTTTGGCACCACCTGGAGCCCAACCCCAGGGAATCCACCAGGGCTGCCTGCCAAGGCTCTCACTGTGCTTCCCCAGGAGACTCACTCTTAGGGAATTTGTCATTTCCCTCCTAGCAAGTGAAACAACATCTTTTAGCTCATTTGGCTAAATTAGCCTGTTGAGCAGTAAATTATTTGAAAAGGAAATCAGAATCAGATTGTGGTTCAGCACCAAGTGAGGAAGATTAGTTAGCATAACCACTAATGCACCTCCCAACAAAAGCACTTTAAAGACAACCCTGGGCAGCTCTTGAATTGCAGCATCAAGAATTAATGAGCAGATTACCTTGGCATGTAGCAATGTTCTAAAAGGCTGTAAGCCTTCAGAATTGCAGATTACAGAGTGGTCAAGGGACACTGGATTTTTGGCAACCAGCTTCTCCGCCCTGACGCCAGAAACTTTTCAAGCCTCACCTAACATTCATTTTTTAATCTCCTTCCCTTGTCCCCTGCAGAGGCTTTGCAGCAGGATGCCCAGCACACCAGGATGCTCACAGGCTTCAGTTGTGTCCCTGGAGCAGCACTGAGCTCTCAGCTCTACCATATCTTTGAAGCTATGAAACCTCTGACGTGACTGTGCTGAACATCAGGGGGGCACAAGGGGAGCTGGACAGAACCTGGAATTCCCCCCAACCCCCACACAGGGGTTCTGTGAGGTGGCTCCATTTCATTATGCCTCCATGGGAAAAACCCTTGTGGTTTGCTCAGACACAGCTCAGCAAGGCAGGAGTGAAACTGTTCCTCACCTGCAGACACAGGGGTGTTCCTGCTGCTGCACAGACCTAAAGAACCCAAAGATTCAGCCCCACACAAGAGGGGCACACCAGCCTCAGCTGGGGGTGGAAACTGGTGACATGAGGGGTCAGAGATCCTTGGCCTTGGCACTCCAGAGTGGTTCCATGGAACATGCATCTTCAGTCACTTGTCCACAAGGATCAGAACAGAAACTTGGCATCCTCTGCTGTAACAGAAGCTGTTTCATCCAAGACCAGGGTGATTCCCTTCCCAACACCAACTCCACTTGCCAGCTTAGTCCTTCCTCTATTGCATGACCCCACATCAGGCAGCTCCTTGTTTCCTCTTCCCTGATCTGCCCACCTTTCTTTTCAGACCATCACGCCTGTTGAACTTCCTCCTGCCTATGAAGCCACAACTGGGCCTCTCAGTAAAACCCCAACCCAAATCAGGTGCTGGATGTGCCTGTCGATTCCAACTGTTCCACCATCCCCTGCTCCAGTTCTCCCTTGTACCTTAGAAAATCCTGGGAAAATCTCTGCTTGGCCTCATCAACAGAAAGGAGAGCACAAAAGCCAAGAAGTGTTTGGCAACTTAAAACCCGATCTTCGTTTTTCTTGATGCTGCTGACATATTAAAACTCCATTTCAAAATGGCTGCAGGCTCTTAAAATGTTTCCTGGTTGGGGTCCAAGAACGTCCTCAAGCCCTTTTAAGATCTGCTGAGGCAAAGCTCAAAACTCAGGGGAAGGTGGTACCTGGGGAAAGGCCTTTTCCCATCATCTTCCAAGAGCTGAAATCCGGGTGAACTTTCTAAAGCCTCAGAGTTGTGAAAAGGGCTCTGACCACTTCAGTTGTCTGGGAATCTGCACTTCACAGAAACCTCTCACACAACAAGAAGCACCATGACAAAAGATAAGTCTTCTCCAAGTCAATCAGTAAAATGGGGCATTCCAGAAGCTCTGCTGGAGAGCACAGCAGAACTGACCAAGTGATGGCCAAAAGCATCCCAGTTAGATGAGCATTTAACACCCTCTTGCTTCGTGCAGCTTTTACATGAAGCATTTCTGTGATGGCTGAGAACTGAGGAGGAGTGGGCAGAGGACTGAAGAAGAAAACAGCTTTATGAACAGCCTAAGAACATATGGAACCATCTTCCTATGGTGGGAACTGATGGCTGCCTCACTCGTGTTAAGCAAGAGGGAGTGAGGACTTTCTGGTGAGTCCCTGAGCAAGTTGCTTGAGCAGAGCTATTTTCAAAACTGATTTGCAGGGAACCCTGGCACCCTGTAGGCTGCAGAAGTTATAGACAGAATTAAACAGCAAGGATTTTTTATCTCTGTTTTGGTTCAGGGAGTGCACTTCCTAATACAGAAAACACATTATTTGGTATTTACTTTTCCACCCCCCAACCCAGAAAAAAAAGTGACTTACTCCTCAGCACTGAAAAGCTTTTGGGGAAAAAAGTATCTGCCACATTTTGCACTTGCTTTGATCTCTTGCTTCAAGCCAAATTCAGGAAAAACTGTGGACATCATTTGAAATGTATTAAATAAAACATTCCTGAAGGACATGGTTTAAAAAATAAGTATTGTTCAAGATGCAATAGTGAGAAGCTGATCTGGATTTCAGTTTCAATGAACCTGCCTATGTAAGGAAATCAGTTCTGCCTTAGAAGTGGAAATTATTCTCCTTCCTCCCACTCCCCTCCAGGGGCTGCAGCTCCTGAGGTGGTTGCAGGGGACCCTCCTGCCTCCCAACCCATGCCCTGCTCAGCACAGCAGGAAAGCTCCACGTGCTGCAGGACTGGACACCAGCAGCACCATCATCCCTCATCTCCTGAAGAGCTGTACAACAGCCAACAACTCCCTGACACTTCCCCTCCCTCCCAACAGCACCCAGAAGGGCTGGAGAAGACACCTGCCAGGGATCACCCCCTCCTTTGTTCCACCACCACAGCAGGGAGCAGAGCTGGGAAGGACATGCCTGCTCTCCCTGCTCCTGCTAAGCCTGCTGGAGGGCAAGAAAAAAATGACACTGAACACACAAAACCCTAGAAAAGGTAACTACAGCTTTGGGAAATAAAGGTTAAAGGCTGATTTTTGAGATGGTCTCAATGCTTCCCTGCCCCTGGCCTTGCAGGGCCACTACCTGGCCCGACAGCAGTCAAAGCCAAGGCTCCTTGAAGCCCATCCCAGATGTGCCTCCCTGAGCTGGTCTCTCACATTCCTGTAATTCTCCCAGGTCCAGGCAGCCAAGGTGACATTCTGGACCCACAGGCCCATTTCCAAGCCCTGCATGTGACTCCACCAAGCTGCAAGTCACTCCACGGGCACATCCGCACGGGAAGCTCCTCAGGTGCTCATCTGCAGCTCGAGGTGACCTCAGACAATCCCACTCCAGCCTCAGATGTTCATGGATAAGACAGTGTCTTCTACAACTGTAGGATTGGTTTTTTCCATTCAAATCAACCCACCTAAGCTTGTATTTGGTCTCCATTCCCAGAATATTCAGGGACCTTTCACTGCCTTGTGAATGCAGGAGCATCAGCACCTTCACCTCGTTCTGTGGCAAGGATGAGATTCCTGAGTGACATGGAAGTTACTTGAGGAAAACACCCACAACGTGGGAAAAGCCACTCAGTGGGAAGGAGGAGGCTGAGGAGTTGTTTGTAGCAGTGACAGCCCAGGCACAAATGGAAGAGAAGGAAGGAGAAGTCTAACAGATGGAAAAACAATAAAAACCAGAAACACTAACAAGGTTGCAGAATTAAAGGAGGATGATGGTCACCTCCTGCAAGCACCAGAGGAAGGCCAGACTGGGAGGCAAGAGCTGCTTTGCCTTCCTTGCTGGGGATGTTCAGAGGCAGCTTTCCTGAGCTCAGCTTTTACATGTAAACAAGGAAATTCATGGACCTGCCCTTCTGGGTTGTTTAAATTGAAATGTTTCAGGTTTCCACAACAAATATCATGGGCAAGTGCAGCTTCTGCCACGTGTTTCTTGGAAGTCCACTGGAAAGACAAATACTCACACAAGAATTCTCTCTGGTACTTACATAGACAAAAAGGAGTCAAACTAATCCCAGACTCTGCCACCTGTAGGCAAAGGGACTCTCTGATTCCCCCAAGAGTCATTACTCCCACTTTGCAAAATGAAACTGAGCAGAAAAAGAATATAACTAGTTTGGCCAGAACCATCACTTCAAGGCTGGGCTCCAAACCCAGGACTTCTACATCCCTGTACCATGGTTCTGTTTCTAGGTCACACTGTTTCTCCTTTAAATATCAGTTACCAAGGCTGCTGGGAAGTTCAGCTTCTCAGTTAAAATGCAGGTTCAGTTTCCTTAGGCAAACCAAGATCATCGTGTCCTCCTGCAAGGAAAAGCACCAGCTGATGCCCCTGTGCAGGTTGCACATCTGGCTTCAAAAGACCAGACCTGTGATGCAAAACCCTCTGGCCAGAGCTGGGGGGGAAGCTTGGAAAACTTCCCGTGAGTCCAGCAGATTCCAGCAGAAAGGCCTTTTTTGATGGCCTGAAAAAAAAGTCTTTGTGGGAAGTCACTGGCAGCAAAGAAGGAGCAGACACTGAAGCGGTGGCCACACCAAAGTGGTGGCAGAAGAAGCAGAGGCAGGAAAATGTGCCCCCCGTGTTGATGGGAGATCAAGGCTCTGTGCACAAGGCACGAGGCTGGCAGGGCTGTGGGAGCTTGTCTCCCATCTCCAGAACCTTCCCCTCCCTCTGCAGCTGCTCCAGCTCCGTGGAGAGCTCATGTCTCCATGGCAGGAGCACTGAGAGAGCAGGGACTCTGAAGGGCAGCCACGTGCAGAAAGGTACAGCTCTTCTGGAGACGTGACAGATGCCTTCAGAGTGGGGAATGTGGCTGATTTTTCTCTAAAATGAGAGATTTATTAATAGCATTGAGTTAGGAGGCAAATATGGAGACTGGTAAAGCATGAGGGATATATCAGGGCTCCCCTCCACCTTCTGCTTCTGGTGGAACATGGAGACAACCAAGAAGCCTTTGCCCAGCAGGACATGACAGTGCCTGCTGCCCTCTCAGCACTGCTCTCCTGGTGCACCTGAGAGAACATGGCCCAGTTCTCCCACACAGACCACACAGTCCACTCTACTGGTGGAACACCAAGAGGGCACAAGATGCTTGGATTTGCAGCAACATTTGGCAACACCTGCTTTGGTTGGGTGCAGATGGTCACACACAGCTAAGAGACCCCAGGAACTCCAGGGACCTGCCCAGACCAAAACTGGGCAACACCAGATTGGTTGAATAAAGAGAAAATACTTCTGAGGGATAAGGCAGGCTGCCTTCTCACCAGGAACTGCAGCAGCCAACATATTTCCACCAGCCCAACCTCCACCTGGACACCATCTGCTTGGTATCCAACACAGACACAAGTCACCATCATTCAAAGCCCTGCTCTGAGCTGGTCCCTCTGCTCCCAGCACCACTGACACCATAAACAAGCATTAAACTAAATGCAAAAGAGAATGATCAGTTATGCTCCTTATCAGCAGCAAAGTCACTTGATTTGCCCTCAGGAATGC